GTAGGAGGGATTCTCCCGGGGGCGTAGGAGGGATTCTCCCGGGGGCGTAGGAGGGACTCTCCCGGGGGCGTAGGAGGGACTCTCCCGGGGGCGTAGGAGGGACTCTCCCGGGGCAGTAGGAGGGATTCTCCCGGGGGCGTAGGAGGGATTCTCCCGGGGGCGTAGGAGGGACTCTCCCGGGGGCGTAGGAGGGACTCTCCCGGGGGCGTAGGAGGGACTCTCCCGGGGCAGTAGGAGGGATTCTCCCGGGGGCGTAGGAGGGATTCTCCCGGGGGCGTAGGAGGGACTCTCCCGGGGGCGTAGGAGGGACTCTCCCGGGGGCGTAGGAGGGACTCTCCCGGGGCAGTAGGAGGGATTCTCCCGGGGGCGTAGGAGGGATTCTCCCGGGGGCGTAGGAGGGACTCTCCCGGGGGCGTAGGAGGGACTCTCCCGGGGGCGTAGGAGGGACTCTCCCGGGGCAGTAGGAGGGATTCTCCCGGGGGCGTAGGAGGGATTCTCCCGGGGGCGTAGGAGGGACTCTCCCGGGGGCGTAGGAGGGACTCTCCCGGGGGCGTAGGAGGGACTCTCCCGGGGCAGTAGGAGGGATTCTCCCGGGGGCGTAGGAGGGATTCTCCCGGGGGCGTAGGAGGGACTCTCCCGGGGGCGTAGGAGGGACTCTCCCGGGGGCGTAGGAGGGCCTCTCCCGGGGCGGTAGGAGGGACTCTCCCGGGGGGTAGGAGGGATTCTCCCGGGGTGTAGGAGGGACTCTCCCGGGGCGGTAGGAGGCGGTATCCTGGTCTGTCCTACAATTGGTTGCCAGCCTCCTAATCCTCCGGAAGGCGGCAGTATAACCTGACAGTATATGAATTCCCTCAATGGATTTCAGGAAAAAGATTTTATGGTGAGTGTAAAAATTATTTAATAAATATTTAGTTTCTCGGCTTCTTTCTATACAAACTGGTGAAAATTACCCAGAAAAATGCAATTTGTAGACTTTCTGCTACTTTGTTCCCCATAAACCTGAAGTAAGCAGTTATTATTCATGTATGGCAGCCAGGAGGAAGTGGGACTGTCCTTCAGAACAGCACACCCGGGTCCGGAGTGGCCTCCTCTGGTCGGAGATCACAGACTCAGAAACTCCCGAAATACTTCTGTATAGGTGACAAGTGGAGGCGCCCGTCCTCCCTGAGATATGTGCACCCTCCATGTGCTGAGCAGATATCAGAGTTTGTCTCGTACTCAGCCCGTGCTTCCCTATCCTTTGCTCACTTACTGGGATCTGTCTGTGTTCCCCACAGCATTCAGGCAGAATTCAAATGTCATTTTCCAGGCCATCTGTGCACTCAATTGCTGTATACAAAGTCCAATACCAACGCCACACGAAAGGTCTGAGAGTCCAAAATCCTTGAATATTGATATTGGATGACAACAAACAAACAAACCAAGCTAGGCAACGTATTTCAGTGAACTCCCCTTCCTCAGGGCTGAGGATGGAACAATCGCCAGGAAACCAGATCAATAAATCAGCATAACTCAATGATCCCGAGTCCTCGTATCTATTACACTGAAGTCCGAGGAAGGAGGAGCACCCCGAAACATGCTGCCCGGTCTCTCTTCTCAACCAATATCCATAGAAAAAGCTTTTGGTGCTCACATTGTGCTTCATGAATCTTCAAATCCGGGCCCCTTGTTTCAGAGACACCCCACTTCCTGTTAGAGCAGCCAGAGCCACCGGGCCTTCTGGTAATGTGATGGGTTCAGACCCTCCGCTCGCCTCAATAACCGGTTTATACAGCGCAGAGCGCACGGCACTGGGCAGAGTACGGCACAGAGCACACGGCACGGAGCACAGCACAGAGCACAGCACAGAGCACACAGCACGGAGCACAGCACAGAGCACACGGCACAGAGCACAGCACAGAGCACACAGCACGGAGCACAGCACAGAGCACACGGCACGGAGCACAGCACAGAGCACACAGCACTGAGCACAGCACAGAGCACTACGTGTATTGGGATTGCAGCGCAAGCAGCGGGGACGTGTATTGGGATTGCAGCGCAAGCAGCGGGGACGTGTATTGGGATTGCAGCGCAAGCAGCGGGGACGTGTATTGGGATTGCAGCGCAAGCAGCGGGGACGTGTATTGGGATTGCAGCGCAAGCAGCGGGGACGTGTATTGGGATTGCAGCGCAAGCAGCGGGGACGTGTATTGGGATTGCAGCGCAAGCAGCGGGGACGTGTATTGGGATTGCAGCGCAAGCAGCGGGGACGTGTATTGGGATTGCAGCGCAAGCAGCGGGGACGTGTATTGGGATTGCAGCGCAAGCAGCGGGGACGTGTATTGGGATTGCAGCGCAAGCAGCGGGGACGTGTATTGGGATTGCAGCGCAAGCAGCGGGGACGTGTATTGGGATTGCAGCGCAAGCAGCGGGGACGTGTATTGGGATTGCAGCGCAAGCAGCGGGGACGTGTATTGGGATTGCAGCGTGAGCGCCGGGGACGTGTATTTGGGGATTGCAGCGCGAGCGCCAGGGACGTGTATTGGGATTGCAGCGCGAGCAGCGGGGACGTGTACTTGGGGATTGCAGCGTGATCGCCGGGGACGTGTAATTGGGGATTGCAGCGCGAGCAGCGGGGACGTGTATTTGGGGATTGCAGCGTGAGTGCTGGGTAAGTATGTTGGTGATCGCCGAGTGGGTGCCAGGGACAGGATGGCGGGGGTGGCTGCGTGAGGCCTGGGATCGTGTACACGGGGGTAGCTGGCCAAAGGCTGGGGATGTGTATGCGGGGGTGGCTGCACGAGGGCCGGGGACGTGTACATGGGGGGGGGGGCGGGGGGGGGGCGGGGCTGGGT